CCACAGTCCACAGTCCACAGTCCACAGTCCACAGTCCACAGTCCACAGTCCACAGTCCACAGTCCACAGTCCACAGTCCACAGTCCACAGTCCCTTCACCAGGGTCCTGCAAGGGCTCATGGGCCGGGGCGAAGGCTGGCAACCTCCAGAGAGAGACTGACCTCACTTCGACGACGAAGTCCACGACTGATTGGCATCAGCTTCCTCTGCTCCCCGGGGATAACAGGAAACCTTTGGTGGGCTCTACATTGGAAGCTCTGGAGCAACGAGCACACGACTGTCCATTGGTTCTCAATGGATTTTATTCAAAGGAATTTTTAGAAGCGGGAATAAAGGGGACCTTTGTTTTTTTTCAGAATTCAATTATGATAAATAACTTTGCTCTGCACAATGCTATTATGATTACAGCATAACTATTAGAATTTAAGTCCCATCCATATCTCATCGTATTGTGTTAAATTCCTATTTTTTCTAGTGGTATACAGAAATCTAGAGGGCAATGAATTGTTATCTAAACACTTATGTAAAACTTGCATCTGTGCAATGAAGTGCAGTCCTACCGCTCGTCACACTCGTCTGTTCCACTGTTCTTCTCTCTCTCTGGGGCCGCACTAATCACATCGGGGTTGTGAGCATGCCCGGTCCTGTCCCCTGCACCTTCCCGAGAAACATCCTGGGCAGCCTGCAAGAACAATTACATACTGCTCCCACTTGTGTCTAACTGCGTCATTTGAAATAACTGTGCACATCCACAAACGGATAAAGGGGAAGCAAACGTCAGTCTGCAGTCAACCGAAAGACATCTTACCTCCTGAACTACCCGCTTGCTTCCTGCATTCTCCTCAGGATTCAAAAACTTCAGCAGACTGTTGGTATGAGTGCAGCCAGATTAAAGCTCAACATATAAGCAATCAGTCGTATCATCGCTATCTAATAGCTGAAAGCATGAGCCCTGGGACAGCAGTGCCTCAGGTCTCCACAGCGCCCCCTGTCCTGGCCGTGGTGTTACTGCAGCCACACTGCAGCAGAATGTCAGTCAGTGTCGTGTGCGCAAGCCAGACAGCAGCACCTAGAGCTCACTGGGCGTCCTGCTGCCACCTGTGCCAAAGGCAGGAAACACTGAAGACCGTGCCAGCGAGCGTTACTGTCCGGCCGGGGGTGCGTCTATTAACACCCTCCCCCGGGGAGGGGCCCCAGCCCAGCCTGTCCGGTGAGGCGCAGGTCCTCGTCAGTCAGGCTGGAGCAGGGACGGCGGACGTGGTTAATCCTAGCAAATTCTTACGATGTATCGGTGCACAGCAACATTTTATGCATTTCTTGTTTCACTACAATTTAAAAGTCTCCCTTCTGCGATGAAAATATCTGTACTGCCAAAGCAGCATATCTGTTATTCAAAGCACTGTTCTCAGGGGTTTTCATGCTAAGTGAGTAAACTGGCTTCTTCAATACAGTTTAGAAATTAACAAGCTGGCACAAATTTGCTGCCTGTATCAAGACCACTACAGAAAGCATCTCCTTCTTGGCCTAGCTTAAAAGGTAAATAGTATCAGAACACCCTTTTATCAAAGAGACCTAGAACGATGCAATTTTATGTTTCTCTCACTTCTTGGCATTTATTGGAGGCAAAAAAAAAAATTAGATCCCTTAGATAAGTATTTATAGAATAAAAGGGCAAGTTTTTGAACAGGGAAGGAGTATCTTTTCAGGGTCCCAACAGGGATGCATATCCACTGCGTGTCGCTCAGAACGGCCCGATGCTCTTCTGCAAATCCTGACTCACCTGCTACAGTCAAGCTCGCCGACTGACGCTTGTGCCAGCAAAGAGCTGGTCTCAACATTTCTAAGACTCGAGGGACAAAAGCAGAGTGCAATTAATGAATCTAGTACCAATGACAAAATAGGCACAGAAACACTCTGAAAGGGCTCTACAGCATGCCCAATTAAATATTTCAAAGCAACATGTGCATATCAAGAACCCCACCCCTTCGTAACCTTTAAAAGTGCTCCACAATAGACACTCATTTGTAAAAAGCTGAATTGGAGGGGAAAAAAGGCCACAAGTGGGGTAAAAACTGCACAAACATACACAACTATGGCACTGACCTTTATATGCAAAGGCTCCATCTAAGTGGTTTGCATCTCTGAGACACATTAGAGATGTATTTATCATGAGTTTTATAAAAACATTGTTAAAAATAACAAGGAGAGGTTGTTTAATGCAGTGAAGAAAAACATGAATCAATGTCTGTTATGCTTCACAACATAAGGAGGTTACAAATGAGGAAACCCTTGAAGCTACCGAGCGTTTTCTAGACGCTTACTGATGAGAGGTTCTCTCCCGGCTGCTTACTGTTATTGCCTCTGGTGGATACTCCAGACACACCGCTCTGTAAGAAACGCTTCCTGTCCTAGTCACACTCTCAGTGTGCTGCCCTCTGCATGTTTCAGGGCTGAACACAAGAACAATCGGGCACAACACACTCTCTCTACAGAAGCCGGCGGCCCTACTTTTTGTCTTGCAGTTCTTCTGCTGCCTCTGCTGCTCCCAAGTCACACACGGCAGCACCTCTCTGTGTCACCATCGCCACATCCCCTCGGGCTTCCTTCATTACACCGGTCTGCCAAAGCACACAGGGTGGTATACTTACCATTCTACAAAGAACATAGCAATAAAATAGGACCTAAACCATAACTTTTCTCCTATCAATTATAAAACACCCTCAGATCAAAGTATAGTCTTCTGTACAGCATTGACCTTTATCTTCAAGACTGATATAATCAAGCATCTTCTGAACACAGCAAATTGTTTGACTATGGTAGCCAAAGATGTGTTAAATAATGTGATGTTGAAAAGATGTGCTAGTAATTAACTTTTAAATATATTCAGCGACAACACAAAATGTCATGACGTGTTCAGATTTTATATCTCCTGTCAGCTTGTAGTTTGAACCATTACTCAGATTGGTGGATAGCCAATTGTGACACGGGTGTATTCAAAAACTTTTAAAACACCAATTTAGACCAACTTACCATAGAACCAATCTGTGTGCCAAGGCTATGATCATTTGTTTTAGGCTCTTTAAAATGAAGAGTTACATTAGACTTCACCACTTGGACCTCCTCTGCATCCATAGGTTTATTTTCAAGAGTAGAAGAGAAAAAAAAAGACATCAGAAAAAGTAAGAATGACAGTCAAAGCTGCCCGAGTCCGATTACCACTGGTCTTCCTTTGCCCTGGCACTGATTAAAGACAAACAGCATGACCGAAGAACTCTAAAGTGTTTGTACCAGGATCTCATCACCCCTTCTCTTTCAAGGTTATACCTCAAGACTGGTCACATCTGCTAACCTTTTCTTTACACTACATGTCAATACAAAATGCATACAGAAATAGAACAGATTTTCTTTTAAAAAAAGAAAAACAAGATTGAGACAGTCCAGCAACTCTCATCAGACCATTTAGTTTCTTTCCTCAAATTTATAGCTATGCTCAAAGCTCAAAAGCAGGGCTCAATAGAGCCAGTTGCATCGTTCCCTTGGCTGATTATAAGGGCACACCAGTGCCATTTTTAATGAAGAATTACAGTAGAATATACTCAACTCCTAAAACGATCTCATAATTTTTGTTAAGCACTAAAGGGCTACTACACACAAATGTATACTTGTGTCATTTATGTAGTGTTAACACTAAAATGAGGTTTTAAAACAACAGCAGAAACCCAACACGAGACCCAGCAAACTACAGACTCTTACTCGGTGAAGCTTCATCTGAGCTCTTCGCTTGCAAAAGTGAGGTTGCAGGAGTCCGATCAGCACTGCTGCCCTCAGGACTGGCTTGGAATTGTTCGATCGACGAAGAGTAACATGCAAACTTTTCAGTCACCAGGACATCATTAACACATACCTGCAGAGGCCAATAATATAGGCATAAAACAGTGATCAAGAACCTACATCCTCGGCGAACAATAAATGCACTTCTACATCTCGCCAGTTATAAGGATTAACTAGTGTCAGTGATTCACTGTAACTGAACTGTGCAAATGTGGCATAGTGTGGGTGCCGTGTATATTGCTCAAATAAACCTGCATCAAACTTGTGGGCTCACCCACGTGAAGGGAGAGGCTCAGTGTTCAGGTGTGACACCAGTAAGAGCAGACTAGGCCTTGGCAATGGAGATCGGCAACAGGGGCATGGGAGGGCACTTCTCTGGCAGAGGAGCAGGTGAAACAGAAGGGAACAATGGCAACACCTACTGGGACAACAAGTGAGAAATGGTCTCCCAACATGAACCTGATCTGAGCGGTATTAGACTCTAGCTATTAGTTATGGACCATCATGAGAAGTGGCTGATGAGCCAATTCACAGTCGTACAGCTGGACTTAAAGCCACAAGCTCTGAACGCTCTGGTGACGAACCAGAAGGGCAAGACTGCAGAAAGAAGCTTCTGCCACAAAGGCTGCTCAAAATATTTTCCTCTAAATGGCAGGAAGCTCGGCTATCGGACAGAGCCACGGAGCAGAGTGGTTGCAGGTATGGAGAACTCTCCCCCCCCAGGGGGATTTTGAGAAGCCCTGTACAGGGCTCATGTCCCCCTGGGTAGAGACCTCAAGGTCATCCCAGGAACGCTGGAATGGCAGCGTTGCTTGGACAACCTGGGAATCCCCAAGGAGGCAAACCGAGGAAAAAGATGTCCGGTCCTCCTTTCCGGAATGCTGCCAATACAACCCTCACCAGCGCAAGAGGAAATCAACAAGAAAAAGAACAGATAGATGCAGCTAAAAAAAAAAGTAAACCTCTGAATTCACTGAGCGATTCAAAAACCAAAACGTTAAAGCTTGTGACGTTTCAGTCCAGGAGGCTGAACAGGCCATGGAGGGATGCTTAACGCTGTCACACTGTCAATTCTTTCAGGACGTTCACCCAGGCGGGCAACACGCCAGGCTCACCTTCATCTTCTCTATTGTCAGGTACAGCTCGACCTCAAGACAGTTCCCCTCAACACCACACAGCACAGCCTGGGCGAGAGTGGACGCTTCAGAGAGAAAGTGGTAGAGGGAGTTAAAACCCAGTATTTTCTTTAGCTAGCTAGGGCAAAAATGGCATCTCATCTCTCTTATCTCATTCATCTCTATGCTACTTTGGCTCTTTGCAGAGCATTTATCATAGTTACTAAATTAAACAAATATAAATCCTTAAAACGTTGTGAGAAGTTTTGGTGCCCTGCTGAAAACCAATAACCTCAAGAAAATCTGAACAAAGGCTGAATGCAACTAGGAAGCAGTGGGAAAGAAACTCAAGATGGTAAACTGTGAAAATGTGCTGCCAAAATAAAATACCTTGGACAAGTTTATTGAAATAGATCACAGAAGAAACATCCCAGAAGTTCTTAGGTCTGAAAGACAAATGTTCATACTTGTTTGGTCAGGTCAGTGAGAAAAAAAAGTATACATGAAAAGAAAAAAAATCTCTATCACTTCAAATGATTTTCCAGCTGTTCGTACTATTTAGGAGACACTAGAGTTCTAGGGGAATATCCTAACTGCTCCAAGGGTATTTTAGTAAATGGTATACATCTGTAAAGATACACACATGCACAGACAATAGTAACAAATAAGAACCATAGTGTATTACACAAATTTTGTTTCTTCCCGTAAGAGGTCAACATGCAGAGCCAATGGGTGGATATGAGCAAGACTGAACTTCTGTGCCAGGAAAGGCAGCTGGAAGAACTTCTCCAAAGGTATCCGGACTCTAAAAGAGAAATTAACATTACTGGTGCACTTTCCTTACATGCATAAAGGTTCCATAAAGCTGACTTGCTTTAGCAGCCCCAGTGACTAACCCGAACCCATATATAGGTTTTGTGGAATAACCGAACTGCAGTGCTGCAGATTCACTGGGGAACCTCATGTGGTGCGAGTCATGTCGTTCAAGTCTGAGAAAAAGAGGGAGGGCCTGACCAAGGGCTCCGTGTTTCACTGTCTGATTCCTGCCAGGGTCAGACGACTATCCATGTCGAAGCAGACTTATCTTCAACACTGAATAAGATGAAACTATTAGAGATAAGGTGCTCGGGCCAGTGACAGGTGTAGGTGGAGGGAGGCAGCTCTGTGCTCAACGTGCTGCAATATTCATATTTATGGAAGTCTTTTTTAGGACACAATGGCTGAAACTTTCAACTTGCTTCACTGGTCAGTTCTGAGTGTCAACAATAATCCACTTCAAGGGTACATTTTCCAGCTGCTTCAGCACAGAAAAACCTTATCCAGCCTCTCCTGGGCTTCCTTCCCATTATTTGACTGTTATTCACAAAACAGTGCATACTAGCTGATCGCGTGAGGATGAACAGACACCGCTGGGAACGACTCCATCACTCTCGCTCACCAGCGTGAGCGTTTTCTTCGGTACAAGAAGGACCAACTACACACCCCATCTGACCTCTTAAAAACCCATGTCCCGCTGGCTCCACCAAAAACCTGAGATCAGCTTGGTTCCTCATGACACCCAGTGGTGTGAAAACTGGGGTGTTCTGGGAATCCCTGGTTTACGTGTCTTTGTAAATGACAGGAGTGGCGATAATGGACAGACTAACTGCAGAACTTCACCAGAAAGCAGTAAAACAGAAATCTGCTTAGGTAGCCAGAAGCAAAAGACCCAGTGACATAAATGACTTCTTTCAAATTAAAAACAAAATATAACACTAACAATACCTTTAAATGGAGAACTGTTAGCATATCGACAGATTAAAGAACGGCAGTTTTTAAGCTTAATTCAGCTACTCACTCATCTGCGCTAACGATGATGTGCTTGGCATGGTCAACCAGGAAACACTGGACCCGCTGCCCCTCGGAGCTGAGGAAGAGACACTCCACAAAGGCCCTGCACCAGCTCTTCAGGCTGGGAGAGTACACCACACAGACCTACAGCACACAGCACAGGGGATACCTGATGCATCACTTCCAGCCATTAACAGGCCAGCTGCGGTGACAGTGAATCATGTTAAATAAACCAATTACTTGTTTTCTGTTTTATTGCGCGACGTAGCTGCATTGAATGGGGTTTGATGAGCAAGTACAGCTCATCGATACAGCAAAGCATCAGAACAGAATCAATTCACGAAGTGAACATTTTCATTAGTTGCTTAACTGTTTCATTTTTTTTTTTGTTTTAAATGAGCAGATTTTCCCAAATTCAGTGTGAAATAGTTAAAACATTGGCAACTGTTTTTATACATCTGTCTCGTTCTTAATACTGCTTTATTATTGAAGGGCAAGCAATTTCACAGCACCACTTAAGTGTAGCAGTTAAATCTACACACTGACCGCTGAGGCGACATCTAGCTAAGCTGGTACCAATTAACTGGCTGGTCTACCTTGTAAACATGTTCACTGTTAATATACTGCACGATCACCTTTAGAAAGCCAGTCACTGAACACATTGTAAACGTGCGTTGATTAACTAGCAAATGATAAGAAGGAAGTGACCCTACACCCTACAGCATGAAGCACAACTCGTGCTCGTCACCTGTTCCTGCTCCAGCGAAGGGGCTTTCAGCTGTTGCACGTCCAGCTTCACATTATGATAGAAGAGGTTCATCTCGTCCTGTAACTTCTCATGCACCTTTGGACTTTCTATATTAACCCCATCTCCCTTGAGAATCTTCCCCCAGAAACAACCGGGATCCTCGATCTGCAGAGCACACACACACACAGACACAGAGTGCAGAGTTTGACATCAAGCAGGGAAAATGGCCTCATGTGCACAGATGCCTGGAGCACCTGAGAGGAGCGACAGACCGACCCCTGAGGGAGGGATCACAAGACAGCCTGGCTCTGACTAAAAAGCTGAAAAGGATGAGCGAGTACCATTAGAATGGATATTTCCATCATTCTTTACACGACGCTTCCTCCTGAAAAAAAAAGATGAAAGGCAAATCAGAAAAAAAGCTCTCTTACAAACATAGGAGACTTCCGGTCTCTTCAATCTGTCTAAAATAAGGGTGTTCAGCCCCACACATGGGGAGTCCCAGGGCCATGTACTGTACACAAGTTCATATCGTGTTAAGCTCACCTCTGCTAGTTTGGAGAAAGGAAAGGCCAACTGCTAACAATCCAGAATCAAATCAAAAGGCTGCAGCTTGTAATAATCAGAATCCAGACATTTTTCATGCCATCTTCCCATTAGGGAAAAGAGCTGTGGTTCAATGACTTATGAACGTGGCCCAAAATGTATTCCGATTTTAATTCCAGCTGAGCTCCGAATTACTTAAATCGGAAGATGTTAACTTTTCTAGACCTCAAGATTTCAAGCAATCTTTTATAGCCTGCAGGATCTTCTGCTCTGCAGGCTGGACGCCCTTGTTTTCTAATGCAGAATTAGTTGACAAGAGCCAAGGGATTTTGTGACTGCTGTTGCCATATTGGGTCTCAGCTGCAGAACCGTTTGTGATGGAAAAGCAGACCTTCAAGATAATTTTGTTGTCAAAGGTTTGAAAGAAAAATAAGAGACGTTTATAACACAGTACTTGCTTCTGAAAGCCGTCTTACAATCTTATGGCATCACATATCCTACTGTGAATCAAACGTTATCTACAAATGTGCAAAGCCCCTATGCCTAAGTTCTTTTATTAGTCTCAACTGTTCAATGAAAACCCCCTCCTTACCACAATCGAGAGATTCCCGCATAAATAATGGAAAAGCGCGTATAATTTGGCATTTAATCAAACAAATTAAATTGAAAAATCCATTAGCAGCGCATGTGAAAAGAATAATTTGCATAAAAACAGTTCCACGCGCGAAATATATGCAAACACATTTGAATGGCTTTTTAAGTAGGGAGTAAGCTTTTTCTAAATACATGCGCATTTTCAACGACCTGCTAAGCAATTAAGCTAGCAAACAAGCCCTCTTCCTCATGTACGCCCGTTTTCTACGCTACCCTGTGAATATACAAAACAAGCAATAAACACGGGTATATTTTTGCACGTTTTAAACTCCAGCCCTGTTTGTTTTATTACAAACTTAGCCTGAAGAACACAGACACGTGCAACGACTCCTTCTTAGAGAAAACAGTAGTACTGTACTCAAAGGTTGTAAAGTAACGTAGTAAATCGAGACTGTCGAAAAAATAACGAGACTTCGCTTTGTAAAAGGTTTGAATGCGTTTAAAGTTTTGGCTATATACAGTAGGTAATTTTATGTCAATATACAGTGTAACTTATTGCACTACAATTAACACATATTCAATTTGATTTTTGCTGTTACAGTATCACCATAAAATAAAATGTGGTTTTACGGTTCTTGCAAAATAATTTTTACAAATAATCGACAACAAAAAAACACGCCCCACTTTTTTCCCCCGTTACAAATGCGGTAGGTTAAACGCAAAACTTTACAGCTTTTCCGACTATGTACAAATTCTGGGGAATGTGCGAAAGTCGCACTTTGAGTTAAAAAAAAATGTGGGAAACGACAGCCTCCGATGAGCCGTGTTAAAACAGCTCCCGCAAAATCCACGCCCGACCGCACCTGCTCACGTCGCGACCCACGCCAGGCCTGCCGCGCCTGCGCACATCGCGCCTCCCTCCGGCGCGCCGGCGAACCGCTTCTAAATCACCGCGCGACGGGCGACGCCCTTCCGGTTACCCGTTCAATTCAAACTTTATTGTCCCACTGAGGGCGAATTTGTTACACAGCACACTCGCATACTCACGGCCAGGCCCTGCGAGAGGGCGGGCGGCAGCAGAGTGGCCTCACCTCAGCCCGGGGCCACTTTAACCCTCCGGTGTGTTTCTCAACTTGTCGAATCTGCAACTTTTACCACCTACCGTGACTCTTGACTCAAGTCCACGGCTGTGGAAAAAACGTCCCGCTTTCAGTGCTGAATCTACCCTTCTTTAGGAGTTTCAAAATGCCCGCCTTAATCTTCCCGTCATATTATTCTTTACATTAAAATATTTGTTTTACCCCTCTTCCCAAACAAGGAGGGGGCCTCACAGCGTGAAATGGCCTCATCTGAGCTCTCAGAGGGCCAGTTTAAGGCAATCTGACCTACCCCCAATTAGCCCCCATGGGTTCATGTGGGTTTCCTCCCTCCATCCAAAGACGTAATGGCAGGTTAATTGGCCCAGGTGTAACTGTGTGTGTCTGCCCTGCAACGGACTGGTGTCCCATCTAGAGTGTACCCTGCCTTGTGCCTGTTGCTTGCTGGGATAGGCTCTGGCTCTAGAAAATGAAGAGATGTTTAAATGACGTGTGGCAACACGGAGATCATTCTGCACCAGGAACCCCACTATAGAGCAGAGGAAGGGAGGGAGGTAGAAATTTCTCCAATGACTTCAGGTGGAGCCTGAACATGTAAACTCAAGGTGGAATTTAACCAGGACACCCAATTAAAACCTCTACTCTAATCCACGTTAAGGATTCATTGTTTAGCGCAGTGATGCTGCTGTACTTGTGTAACCAATATGTTTCTATGATGCTTAATCACTTAAAAACATGCAGAGAAAACACAGCACCATTTGGTGAACATACGGAGTCAGATCAAGTCATTAAGTGTCTAGGGAGCAAATACAAACAGGAACGTGGTAGTCATCCAGGACCAGTAGAGAATATCTGTGGTTTAATGTTTCATATCAAGGAAATTATAATCCGGACAACAGAGGATCCAACTGGGAGTGATGGTAAATTTCACTACTGCGGACAACAAAAGTAAAAACTACCAAGGAGTTTAAAAAATTAGCCACTTTATAGTGTTTATTGTGTTTATTGTACACAATTGTACACAATAAACAGATCTCAGTCTTTTATTGGGGCTCAACCACACAAACTCAAGTTAGAATCTATCAATTCATTCTGATAGACAGAGAGCACACCATGGGATAAAAGATGCCACCCAGTATTGAGTCAATGAAGCTGCATTCCTGTGCCTAAAAGTGAGAAAAACTACAAAAATATAACAATTATATTATATTTAAAGGTATTTGTCCTTATCACTTGCATATATTATTATTTTGTTGTAGTAAACAAATTCCTTTGTTTAAAACAAATGTGAGTCACTTCTATTTAGAATTTCTGCGATCTGAAGGAACTCAAAATTAAACAGTTCTCCGGGATATCATTCTGCAGTGGACAGTGGTGTCATTTAGCAGAGCCGAGCTCAGAGTCACAGGTGGCTGCTGGGTTTGACGTCTGAGCCCTGGATGGGCTGGGTGATGGGGAGGAGGTGTTTGTACTTCGGTGTGATGTTGGCATGGATTGAGATGTCAAACAGGCTGTGCATAACGATGCGGTGAAATCGAGAGCTCTCCTGCAGCTCCTTCAGCGACTTCTTCTTGGTCACTTCCGCACTGCCGAGACCTGACCAGTCCGGGTTCTCAGGATACAGGTCATCGCCTGAGAGAAACACAAACATACACACACACACACACTTATACAGATGAATACTAGATTAAGCATGGATGCAGCGGTGCCTTTTTTCCTGTGTTTTTTTTTAAGTCAGCTGTGTCTTCCACCTCGCGGCTCTGGACCCCATGACCTCACACTGGGGAGAACGAGGAAATGGAGACGGACTGATCCTCCCCGCCAACTCCGAGCCACTCTGCTCCAGCACGTGCCCCGCCCCCGAATCACAGCTTCCGCACCGACCGGAGAGACTGGAGGAGGGGCCTGCAAGGGCCCGAGAGGCCACAGAGGGCGCAGTGAGATCCCTAGCCAACTCACCCCACCCTGCCCTCAGTGAACAATTCTGCGTGGCTCTTGGGGGGGAAACCCAGTCACAGTCAGCTAGTGCCATGACCCTGGCTCGAACCCGTGACTGTGCAGTTGAGCCAGCACGTGGTGAGGGCCTTCAACAGTAAAGGGGGCTACGAGAGCTGTGCTTCTTAATTTACTTGTGCTTCTCAATAAGCCTTCTTTGTTCATTGATTAAGGAGTTACGGAAAGCTCGCCTTTTTCAGCTTCAAAGGAAAAGTAACTTGACTGAGAATAAATGGTTGACAGAAGACAACCAAACTGATTTAATTCATTCAATTTAATTCAAAGTGGTGCAAATGGCCGATTTAGACTGGTCTTCAGCTGAGACTGATCTACACTTCTACAAACTCCAAGCGAAACCAGATTCAAATTTAAATCACCGCGCAAACCTCTAGGACGCACGCACACAAATAGCATTACCTGGCAGAAGACTGACGTTACCATCGCTGCAAGCAAGACTGATGGGCAGCCAGCGCTCACAGCCCTCTGCAGCTCGCTCCGCGGCGAAGCTGTGCAGGTCCTGCACCTTCGGGAGGCGACTTATTCTGCTGAGCTCGTAAAACTGCGGTGGCGCTACCCAGATCTCCCGGGCCTGGAACTGGCACACAATCTCCGAGGGCGTGGACCACTGCAGAGACAGGTCAGCACAGGGCAGAGCGTGATCCAGCTGCACAACTGCACACTCCTGCACGTCTCTCAGGCAACAGGTCATGGCTCTTGTAGTGGTTAAGAAGATCAGAAGGGTTACAAGCCAGAGGAAACAATTCAATCACTTGGTAGTTAGCAGCTAATTTAAGGATCTCATCCTGCTTTTTCTTGAAATTAGCCAGAGTATCAGCTCCAACAACATGTGGAAGCCACAATCCTTATATAACTATTTACTGCACTAAGCTCCACTGTTAGTTCTTCCGAAGCCAAAGGCAGTGTAAACTTTACATTTTAAAGTGTATAAAGATCGATAACAGCTCACAACAAAGATGAAAACCTGATTCCCACCACACAGCGGTTTGACCACGCTCTTGTGAAATGTCAATCATCCAGCAGAAAATCATGTTATTTAAACTGCAAGTGCATCCAAGCAACTTATTCGAAGCAACAGGCTCAAAACAGTGGCTACTGTTAATTTACATGCATGTGCCTCCAGGATCTGTAACGAAAGACTGGTTTTCCATCTGTTGTTACACTGCAAAGACTCAAATGAAATTCACTGCGCCGTTAATGTTATCATCCAATTTATCAAACAATTAGCAATACAATTTGACTGCAGTATTCCAATGTGCCTGCAGGCAGAGATGGGGCTTTCAGTCTAGTCCCACAATAGTCAGGCTGTCTCTCTCTTAGGCTCCTTGCTACAAGCAAGATACACAGGGCACACAGGGTAGAAAAAGACCATTTAGTCAACAACAACAAGAGGCAGCAACATGCCTCCCCATGAGATTAGCTCGCAATGTGGAAATAACAGGTGTGTCATCAAAACTGCTCATTTTATAATATCAGCACTGCTGGGGATCAGATTCCAGCGCTTTGTCTTTGACCGAACACATATTTATTGCGGGACACAGGAAGTACAGCGGTAACTGCTTCCTGTATACAGTATACTTCATACTGCACAGCTGCACAGAGCATTTAATACTGGGGTGGCCGAGGTAGACACACACACACTCCCTTACTCTGTAATATTCCGAGCTGTGAATAACAAAATAATCATTAGCCAAGGTCAGTAGATGAACAAATGTTTTCATATCGCGAGTTGCATAACAGTTCGCACATATATTTCTCAAAATAAAGAAAGAGTGTCTTTCCGAGCGACTAAAAGACTCATCACCTTAAAATGCACGATCTCCTTCTCGTCCTGCGCGGTGTGGGGCACCCCCTGCAAGCAGCACACGAAGAAGGCCGTGTCGTATCTCCTGCCCGGCGCGAAGGTGCCCGTGGGGGTCAGCCAGTTCCCCCACTCGTGCAGCGCCCAGATGTTGGGCACGCACCCCAGCTCCTTGCACATCTGGATGAAGTTACACGGATCTGCGAGCACCCGCTGCCTCCACTGGGCGAGCTGGCGTCTGCCGCAGAGCTCGGGTACCTGGGCCAGACTGTTGCCCCTGGGGTAGCCTTCATCTCCCTCCTTCGGGATGGCCAGCAATATCCCGGACTCCTCGAAGGTTTCCCTCACGGCACAGATCCTAAACGCCACCTCGCCCGGGATGGGGGAGCCCAGCTCGGCCCTGTCCGCGGCGAACAGAGGGGGTCGCGTCTGCGGCGGCTGCCTGACCGCCCCCAGGCCGAAAGCCGGCGAGAGGCGTGGGGACGCGAAGACGTCCAGCCATTCGCTGGAGAAGTCGGAGGAGTCCACCAGCCCCCCGGGGAAAACGTAGGCGTTGGGCATGAACCCGCTCTTCCCGCTCCGTTTCAGCAACAGCACCTCGTAGTCGAAGGCGGAGTGGGGAGGCCAGGGGGCTCCCCCGCCGCCCGGGGAGCGGGGGTCCCCGGCCTGCAGACGCACGTCCGCCGCGGCCCTGCGCCTCGTCCCCGCCGCCAGGATCACCGTCGCCGCCTCCTTCCAGTGCCGGAGCCCCGCGTTCATGGCGTGCGGCTGACAAAAGCACGACACGACATGTTTCGAGGACTAAATCGTTTGCAGGTGGATCTTTTGGGCCGTGTCGGTTTTCAGTAGTTCACGACGTGCGCGTACATCGGACATGAACAGGTACCGTAGCGCCCTCGCCCGGCGGTGAGGGGGGAGCGCACCCAGTCGCTGAGGGTCTCATCAGCGCCGGCTGGGGGTTGTAGCCGAGGGGTCCGAGGGTCCGTAAGATGACCAGCAACTGACCCTGCTTATGTCAACAGAGCTGTGTTAGCTAAAGTGTCCTCTGAAGATTAGTGTCCCGCAAGTGTGCAGAGTCTGTTAAAGAGTTACCACCCTAAACCTGGGTACGCGCTCCGTCTTTTTTCCTGTCAAAGAGAGCAAAAGCAGGTGCTTGTGTACCTACTGCGTCTCCTCTTGTCCTTGTCCGAATGAACCCGTAGTCGTTACTGTACGTTGATTTAGATTAAAGGGCAGAACAAGCATTTTATAAGGTAGAGCTAAATAGCGGAGTTCCTCAATAAAGGGAACGAATGCTAGCGTACAAGCTAACCGCAGCTGGTGGTGCGATTGATCTATATAATTGATTAATAGCGTATTATTTTATCATGCTTTTAATAATGCTTCGCATACAGATGAACTAATATCAAAATGATACGCTGCTTGTATACAGGGGCAGATTCGTAGCGTAGACTGTAATTATGTAAATATATTCCAACATGAAATAAAAATCGCCGAGATAATTCACTTCACATTTGCCCCTACCAGAAGTGTAATCCGTTTTAAAACGAAACAAAAATGGTTCTGCCTCCATGTTTCTTTCTCATTTTTTCAGTTTTTAATATCTTCTAAAACGAAATTAGGTACTTCCATGGATGAATGTAACCGCGCTTTATTCTGTAACACGGCTACAACAAAAGTTAAGTGTTTTGCTTTGCTGACAACTGTAAATACATTAAAGGCGGGTAAGGCGTTTAGGTTGACTTTGTTGCACAAGTCCTAAATTACCTACGCACAGGTGACGATGCAATTCCTCCTGCTGGACGTCAAAGCCTGGTGAAAAATAAGGAAAGAAAAACCACAGAAAGGATCTGACCTGGCCCACTTTTCCAGACAACAAGAGGTGCGAGAGGTGTCTAGGTTCACTCGCCACAGGTGGCCTCGCCAGCGGTGAAAACGACTGGCACAGATACGCAAACCATCATCTAATCGTTTTGTAGGGTGGAGGACTAATAGGTGGTGGCACTATGCACTGGGCTGCTAATCACATTGTTTAAAAATACTGCCAATTTTTTATTGCTAATCATACATCTTCACAGCTTAGTACTCCGCCTCGTTATATCCAGAGCTCTATGTGCTCTCTCGTGGTGCGGATTGCTTTTTAAAAACATTTACCATTAGACCCGCAAAATCCGATATCGTTGAGTTTTCAAATTAACGAACCTAGACTCATTTAAAGTACATAAAGCAAAGTACAAAGTTATTAAATAGTGTCTTTTTTTTAAGATTTAAAGTGGTGATTTGTGTAGAGGCAAGGTTTGTGTATGTGTGAATGTTATGTTTGTGACTTTCACAGAAAACCCCTCTGTCGATCTGCCCCGTTGATCAGCTTCCTCATCTCATGTCTGTTCAACAACAGATAAGTGCACCTGTTACATAAAGCTTTTGCCGATAATAATTTTGTGAATGTGTTGTGGCTGTAAGTGCTGTGTTTGTTCTGATGCCCAGTCTACACAGACATTTGTGCGTCGTTTAAAGAAATTCAGAATGATTGTGATGTGCTGTTTCTCATTATGCTTGTAAGGCAGGAGAGAGAAAAATGAAAACAAGCACACAGGCATACCTGTAACAGCGATAAAAATATATGGGAGTCTCTAAGCTCTATTCAAGTGAACAGGGTGAAGGCCAAGAGATTATTACTTTGGTTACTATGCACGTTTTATGTTGTTGTTATTTATTAACTTGACTGTTCTGTCCTGTGAAAAGGTATTAAGAAACAGATAAGAGACTTTCACCCGGAGCTAGAGGCTGGATTGAACACAGATCGATTTCTTCTCAAGCGTCACATGTTCAATGCATAAACAGTTTTATCTGAACAGGAAAATTTACACAAATTAAACAGGAATTTAACCTTTGAATACATTACTTTTTGCTGATGATTTTTTTTTGTCATTTAATCAGCTGTAGACACTCATTTAATCATGGCAAACTATTCACATAGTTATTACATATGGTCAGTAATCTAAAACAGTGTTTCCCTATCCCGATCCTTGAATGCTCCTGCGTTTTGCTGATCAAATTTTTAATTAAATCATTAAAAAAACATTAAATCATTTATTTTGCATGAAAGGGTTAGAAATTAACATGAACCCTGAGTCAGATGCTCTCATTAAGCTTACTGTTTAAACAGCCAGGCAGATTTTAACAAATGACTCATTATGTCATCAGAAATGCTCATTATGTCAGTTTCATTCCCACCTGCTTCTGTACATCATTAATTGCGATTGATTAAATATGTCACTGCTGCATTATTCATGTTGTAATATTGCAACATCACATCAAAATAAATAATGTCCTAATGTGTGGATATTTTTACACAGTAAAACAAAGCAGGTGAAATTGTGAAATCGTAATAAAAACAAAATGGTCAGCCCGCTTGTAAACATCCATCAAATTTCAGTTACCACTTCATCCTTAGAGCGGTCAGCTGGAACCACAGCCAGCAGGCACAGGGAACAGCATGAGCTTGCAGCCAGGACAGAACACCAGTCCATCACAGGGCATGCACACACACTCCCTCACACACACTCCTCCTCACACACACACACTCCCCATCACACACACGTGTTCAGGGCCCAGTTAGCCAAGATAGCATGGATCACAAGCACTCACACACTTACACACACCCTCCCTCACACACACACACTCCCCATCACACACACGTGTTCAGGGCCCAGTTAGCCAAGATAGCATGCATATTGCAGGAGAAAGCTGGAGAACCTGGTGCTGAAGACTGGCAGTGGAATGGAAGAGGCAAGGCTGGTGACCCCGATAAGTCTTGTTTGATTGTGAGGAGCCCCCCAGTAACAATCCCAGTAATCTGATCTGATCTGTTCCTCGTTTACAACTGTGTCAGTGTGGTGTGTCCCAAACAGTTTTCCTAAAGCAGGGATTTTCCATATGGAATACAGAAATAACTTCATGTTAATGAATTCGAAAGCGTAAACAGTCACATTTCTAAGACTCAGCTGTGCTCTAGATAATGCCTTCTTACACTGTGCAAGAAATTAATCAGCTCAGCAGAGCCTAGCTCACAATCTCATACACCAACCAGGATTGACTTTGTTATAAAAACATACACACAATCGCATTCCTTTTAACACTCATTTTATTTTTTGCCAGTAAAATCAAAATCAGTCAAATGGGGCTGTAGACTCCCACCTGTAACCTATAGGTTTTTTAGCTATTGACTGTCTTTATCCCTTATATTACATATAAAAACAATAATGCCTTCGATAGGGAGGCAGCATGGGGGCATGACAGCAAGTACTGCTGTCTGGGTTCGAGTCTGGCCTGAGGTGCCTTCATGCAACTTGCATGTCCCCTCCGGCCATGTGGGTCTTCTCCAGGTGCTCAGTGCTGTCTAGATTAGCAGTACTTTCTAAACTGTTGTGTGTGTGCCCTTTAGCAGACTGCTGCTCCATCCAGAATGTAACCTGCCTTGTACCCACTGGCTGTTAAGTTAAACTCCATCTTACCATGAACCCATAGGCGACTAAACATTTATTGAAAATGGATGGATGTTTAAAATCCCTTGTGAGTTGTTTCCAGTTCCTACTGAGACTAGGCAGAGAATCCCTTGTCGATACGAAACTGTCCAGTGCCTTAGAGCTGACTGAACAGAACACCAGTCGAGAAGCCTTTCCCAGGCAAAGAGGAAGGACATCGATGTCTGGTCAGAGGAAAATAGAGAGACGTCGTCTCACACAGAATCAAAGTTGCTGGAGGTGCAGCAAAGGAAGGCGATCGAGCCAAGCAAGTCCAGGAGGATGGATTTTCCCCAGCAGGTGCGTTCTTTCAACAATCAGCAGCCCCAACAGCATTTCTGTAGTTACTGTAACATGACACCACGCAGACAGCAAGTCCCGCAGCGTTCTTCTTAATCCACTTTTTCTGGTGGAACCACCTCCATCAACAGCTGGAGGTGCATAGTGAGTGGTCCTGTCGAAAGAAAAGACGCAAGCAGTCAAACAAGAACGTGAAGCAAACAACTACGTTCAAATGACACTTTTGAGATAATCAGCTTAGCTCAGACCATAATCCATCCAGCCGTTTTTTTAAGCCCTTTGTCCAAGACGGGGTCACAGGGGAGCTGGGGCTTATCCCAGCACACAATGGGCAAAAGGCGGGGTACACCCTGGACAGGACATCAGTCCATCACAGAGCACACACAGGCACAAACACACACACACTATTGCCAATGTTCCAGAAGCCCCCACAAACATGCAAACTCCACACAGACAGCACCCCAGGAATTGAACCCAGGGCCCCAGCACGGTGTGACAAACCACTGTGCCACCTGGCTGCTCGAAGATCATCATATTTTTCCCATAATACACAAATTCAAGGAGGTGGGCTGGACCTTCATTACATCGCATATCAACTGCGTGCAATGAAATGGTGCACAGCCCTTTAAAAATGGGAGCGCTGCGGCCAGCAGTGTGTATTAACACTGACGGTCACACTCACTCATGATCTTCCGAGACCAGCTGAACTTGTGGTGAACGAAGGGGAAGTACAGCAGCAGGCCGCCCAGAATGAAGAGGGTGCAGTACAGATACTCCCACGCGGGTTTGTCAATGATGGGCGCCAACACCAGGTAGGCGGACACTATGACCACGATGGCGGCGATGAAGACTGGCACCTGCGTACGACAGGGGAAACACAGGAGTCAGCTCGAGGCAAACCCCGCCATCGTCCGGGCCCGGCCGGCTGGCTGCCAAACAAGCAGGGTGAGCTGTATGGCCTCCTTTTTCTTTCCAGACTCCCATGCAAGACTCCCGCGATCTACTGCATGAAACTGTTTAATCCAGGGGCTCTGAACCTTTACTGCAGCAGCACCCCTTTGGTTCTCAAAACACGTGCTTGGAGCCCTCATCAAAAATCACTGAAGCCAGTCAGTTCTTTAGACCTAAGATATATCAGAACTAGAGAACGGAAGAGACAGAATTCTATATAAACATGACATTTTTTACACATATTTGATATATTTTTAATTCATAGTAACCTTAGAATACATGAAAAATCACATACTCTTGTATGTTTACCTTTAAATACCGAGGTTTGGTTACACAAAGTAGTTGTCCGTACACGCCTGAGCTTAACTGGTGTTTTCAATGGCTCACCATCATAAAAAACCTGGCCTGTCTCTCACCCCCAGGGGGTGTGGGTACCCCAGGTGAAGACCCGCTGCCTTTGGGTTTGTGGCAGCAGACGGAGACCCTGGGTTCTCACAGTGCTCAGGGTCTCTCTTGGTCAAAGCTTACCTTCACCGGCCGGTCCAGCTCCTTCCTCGTGAACCTCATGACGATCAGAGCCGAGGCCGTCAAGCCATAGAAAGCCCACTGAGCAAAGCTGAAGTAGTTAATGAGGGTCTCGATGTCTGCGGGGATTATGTAAATGATACTCAGAAACCCCTAAAAGCCAAGAATAAAGAGATCAGCTGTGGACAAGACTGCTTCCTCATCTGCAGCTCTGCTACAGCGTAGTGTACAGTATCTCAGGACGGATCAGCCGAGCTGCACCGACAGGGAAGTCCTGGGGCCTTACATTAAACATAAGTGCCGGTGAGGGAGAGTAGTACTTCAGGCTGATGTAGGACAAGATCTTCACCATGTGACCTTCTCGCCCTGCCACATACGTCAATCTGAAAAGAAGACAACACCACCCACTCACGTAAGGAACAGGGACATTTAAGTACATTAGGCTCTGCATTCTCACACACACCTTTTAGACTTTTAGGACTGTGTAAGTGAATTTGCTTTCTGGTCTCTGGTTGGTTTTATGCTCTGCAGGCATGATCTCAGACATAACGTAAGAGGGCAGTAAAAACTGAGACCTTCGTCTGAACCGCTCTCCTCAGAATGCCCTAAAGAATGAGCTGTTGGCCTCATCTGAGACAACGGCTGGTCAGGTGGCAGTTTAAAAACCTGGAACCAGACGGCATTTGGTATAATCTACTGTCTGAGGACAAATTCACCAGAGGCAAGAAGGAGGTGAAGGAAGCAGACATCTACAGCAAGTACCACATCTTGTGGAAGACTTCACACAGGCTGTGGGCTGGAGAACAGTGCGCTCTTGTGGCCACTTGTTGAAACTGAAAAGATGGAAGGTAGAAAAACACCTTTCCCAAGGCTCAGGAATAATAATTCTTTCCTCAAAGCAGAAACCCAGGGATGCAGCTGCTATTTCTGGAGCTACAAGAACAGCAGAGCAATGGAAATGACTTGCTGAGCTCTGAACGAAGAGATTCCCAGGCCCTGGACTGGGCCACCAGAGAGACTGAGAGAAAACGGGAGAGTACTGAGCTGGAGAAACTGCTTCGCGTGTGCACTTAGTGGACTATTGTGCTGAAGGAGAAGGGGGACTCCCTGCAGGCAGAACAGTAGCAGCAGAAAGGCCTGAACACTAGCAGGGCTAACCTGTAAGACAGAACAGCGAGTCGGAGAGTGAGAGGGGAAAACCAGCCCTGGTGTGAGTGAGTGGGCCTCTGAGCCTGTGTGTGCGTCTGTGTGCCCCCCAATGGACTGGCATCCCACCCAGGGTGTATCCTGCCTTGTGCCCGCTGCTTGCTGGCTCCCCCGCGACCCTGAATTGAATTGAGCGATAAGCAGATGGACGGATCTTCATTTCTTAAGCTACAGCTGATGACATGAAAAAAAATGTCTTCTCTCTGGAAAGCTGTTTGATTTTCCCAGGAATTCTTACCTTCCAGCAGTGAAGCAGCTCCCATTGGCAGCTCCGAAGGTTGAAAACACCACAAACAGGGGAACTATCCAAGACACAGGGTAGAGGACTCTGTCCCCAAAGGTCTAGGGGAAGGAAGGTTGATACACAGGGGAAACATTTCTGTGTAAAAAGTAAATGTACAAAAGTGCTATAGGACAGGAGACTCTCCTTATTTTTAATCAACAAAAGGTTTTTCTTTAGCCTCAGAAACCTGCACCATACAGCATAGTGTCAGACACCATGATGCTTGGCTTTGTCCAGGCTCAGACAGGAATATAACTGTATCAGAGGAACTTTAATGACAAAAAGATTTTGCACCCAGATGTACTATAATTGTGGTGTAGGAGGCTTCATCTTTAGAAGCCTTGAAGTTTTGAATTTGTAGCTACAACCTCAAATGATTGTGTTGGAGTGCTTTGAGAGACTAATTCTGTGAACATGTTTGAGAGCCCCAGATCCAGGCACAGATCCAGGCCCACGGTCCTCACCACAGCCACGGCCTCTGACTGCAGCAGCTCAGTGGGAGACATGGCGGTGAAGTAGGCAATATTGACCAGGACGTAGCAGACCGTCACCAGGGGAATTCCAATGATAATGGCCAGGGGCAGGTTTCTGCCGTGAAGAGAGTGAGGAGAAGATCAGGCCAAGTGCTGTAAAGTTGGCACATAGCACAGCTGCAGTATACTGCAGCACATTGTATCCCATCAGCCCACACGACTTCATTTATACTAGATCCTTAATTTGTTTCTTTGAAAGGCTGCCATCTGTTGACAAATGGCCGTGAAAGGATTTGACTGTAGCAAAGTTTTTAAATAGAACGGCTGGACTAGGATGCATGTTGAAATTCAGGTATTCCTCCTGCAGCTTGAAGACAGCCTGTGAATGTTCTCTTTTCATTTCTCTATACAAATCAAATACCTGGGGCTTCACCTTTAAGAGAGCAACAGCACTGATCAGAGCTTTCCAAGGCCGTCTTGCAGAAGTGTTTTAAACAAATTACAATGGAATCTAATCTCCTCCTGCTGTGTGTGGCTAAGAGGACTGCCACACAGCCAACTTAATGCATTTCCTGTCTAGAAACTGGAACTGGATCCTACTAAGTCCCAAGCAAAAGATTATCCATCTGTCAGATGGGACCTCACCTGTATGGGTCCTTCAGCTCCTCTGTGATGAAGTTCAATTGATTCCTGCAAAACCGAAACAGGAAATACTACTGATATTGTTTCAAGTTCCTGTACAAAGAAGAATGATCATTTAGAAACAGACATCACTGACTGCTTCAAGTGTGAAGCACCCTATATTATACATAGATATATGAAAAACTGTTTTATTTTAAATCCAACACATACAGATATAAAACATCTGAAGTATATCAAATTCTATATCCATCTAGTAAGATGACTCACTCATATTGCAGTAAATCATTGGTATTTTTTAAATGCATCGCTTTTTCATTCAAAAACTATACTGGTGTCTGGTGTATTTTTCGTATTATTGGCACATTATCTCATTGTAATCTGAATAGATGTGATAAAATAAAGACCATTGGAATTCAATGGCTTTGATAAGAAATGTCTCCAGTTCCATCAGATACAGGACAGCAGGACATCTGATGACTAGATTTGTTCAAGGGTTTTTTGTTAAGTGGGAAATGTTAATGTTATGTAGGGATGTTTCTACTTCTGGGGTATGGTCTTTGTCTTCTATGGATACCAATGAAATGATCACTTTTCTTCAAATAAATCCCCTAGTGCTTGATTCAGGAGTTAGACTGTTTAACAGTCAATGAAGATGTCTTACTATGAGAGAAGACCAAAGTTTTCATTTAATCTGGGTGGACGTGTCTGTAACCCCACAACGCAAACCAGAGGTTAGAAGTGGGAATTATGTGGACGTGCATTTAAAACCCAGATCAGGAGGCACTCTTTTACACAAAGGATTGTGGGAGTGGGGAACACAGTTGTTGAAATGATACACTGCATCCTTCAGGAAACAGCTGGATGAGATCCTAGGATCAATGACCTACTAACTACCAAATTGGCTTCCTGTCATCTGTAACTATTCTCATATATTTTTAAAGAAAAATAAAAGGTGAAGTTACCATCCATCATATGCCCAGAGGCCGTTGTAAAATGCCAAGCCTATGGTGCCGAAGGATGTTTGCGCCCCGTCGAATGAGTTTGAGATATTCTGTGTGTTTCCTGAAAGCAGAAATGTAGCATGTAAATTACATCTGTGACAGAGAGAAACTCAAAGTGTATGAGCATTCTTGCAGAAAGACAACAACATCAAAAACTAAGCTGTCTGCATTCTGTCAGTACTCCTGTCTGCACCGAATGAGGAGTACAGAGTGCACATTACAGGACCACAGGGCTCTGACACATTCTGATAGTTTACACGTTACTTCTGGAATGTGTAGAGGACCATCAAGACAACTAGAGTCCTGTGATATTCAGCAGCATATTAAGACTCTGAGCCTTCAATCCGAGTTCACCTGGGATGGTAAGAGAAGACCAGGAGCTTCTGTTTCCTACTGCCCTTTTTGTTTTGATATCCCGCTATTCTGCTTTGAATTGTATTTGCATTGTCAATCTAAGAGAGATGGCAGGGATGTGGAATGGGCTGGTTCTTCTCCCACTGTTACTCCAGTAGAACTGGATCCTCCTTGGATTCTCCTGTGCCAGCACTCCGCAGGCCGGACAGCACTGCTTGTGCAAGCGGAGACACCAGAGGTGAGCTCATGCACTGCTGCGTGGATGTGTCATGTTCTCTGTTTCGCGTGCCAGCTATCCAGCAAATAAGTCTTGACACTGTGTTTGATCTTGGGGGGCACAAAGGGTAGAGAAAAATGTACTTTACATTCACACAGCAAAGCTGGACAGTCTGGGGCGTAAGGCTAGTGAGCTGGAGGGCTGCTGCTGCCATGACAACACTCGTGTACAGTAGCATGTTTCTAGGTCTCGCCAGGAGGAAGTGAGGGTGATGATCCAGACAGTTACTGGATGCAACAAAGCATCAGGAACCTCTGCACTGTGGTCGGGGGAGATGAACTAGGGATATTGGCCTAGGGCCCATTTGGAAATTAATACAGCAGGTAAAAAAAATATAGTTTTTTTAGTTTTTGCCCCTAAAAGCAAGGTAGTAGTGGTTCTCGGGCTGCCCCAATCAATGCCCTCTTACCTTGGGCTAGAAGGACAATCCCAGCCACCACAATGATGAAGATGATGATGAGCTTGGCTGCCGTGAAGACATTCTGTACGTAGCTGGCCACCTTGACACTGAGGCAGTTCACCAGCACGATCAGAACTGGGGGAAACAGATGAGAGCACGAAGGTCATCCAGCCATCTCTGTCTGCCCTGCGACGCGGCTCAAGTGATTTTGGAGACAACCAGATGCTGAATAGAGAAACTCTGAACTGTTGCATGTGGCTCTGATGAAAATGGTATTTTCAAATGAGCACATTCTCATGTCACATACCAGCTCTGAGCTGTGTGGCGGAGTACAGGAATCTGGAGTGGCGAGCTCAGGTGGAGCAGAGAGTAAGGTCTCCAGAAGCCAAGAAACTACTCAGTGGTTATAGGAGAAATCCACAGCACCTGTAGTTAGCTGATTTCTATCCCTACGGAAGTGAACTAAAGCAGAAAGCGTCTCCCAAGGAATTAGAACCGTCTCAGATGTGACACATCATAGGTTACTATGAGAGACTGTAGCTGTTCAAGTAATAAAGGCAATTTAAAACACACCAAAGGTTGCTGTGTCAGATTCTTAAAAGACTATCGATTTAAGTTTCAACTTCTGGCCAAACAGGATCCGCCAGTGATTTAAAAATTACTTTCAGATCCAAAGCAGGAAAGTTAAACGGTGAGGTTTCAGGATCAAACTCTGGAGCAAAGGTTTAAACACCTGGTTGTTCTGACCCAAGCTCAGTAGCCATTTCCCGTGTTCCAGAGAGAAACTGGTTTATGTACACATATCCTCCACATCCTCACTGCTCGAAAGGAGCATTGATGGTTGTTCTATGTAAAAAATGCCAATTTTAGAGCTCAGGCTGTAAAGGTGATCTCTCTGAAAGTAGAGCTCTATGTCCCTGGACATCACTGCCAGCTAAGTCCTGGATTCTCACAATGTGCTCCCAGGGGGAAGGGCTGGGATCAGTCCGGACTGGTGGAAGCCCTTGCTTTCACTATACTCAGTGTCCTTTATTTACCCTCATTTACCCAACTGTTTTGATTTTTCTGGTCCACTACATGTCCTTCTCCGGATAGGTGCAAAAGTAAATTCAATGGAAACATCTCCAAAGTAAATTAGTAAGAATAGTACAGTTCCCTCAGGAAAGGATGTGACATGCTTATGGGTGCCAGATTGCTAATGTAGGTGTTAAGTACAATACTTTCCTATGCACTTATGCAATACTTTAGTGGAACATTACACATAAGCCCCAGGACAGCCACAGAGCCAGAGACTGTGGCACCAGTTCCCCACACTCACTGATGGCAACAGCAGCCAGACTCTTGGTGACAACATCAGGAGGTGAGCATCCTGGGTAGAACGGAGTGGCCGCGTACTTTGCAAAGCTGAGCGAGATGATGGCGAAGGAAGATGGCTTAAGCACAATGATGCAGGTCCAGGAGTACAGGTAGGCTGGGATTGGGCCGAAGGCCTCCATCAGGTAAGGGTACTCCCCTCCTGACTTGGTAATCATGGTGCCGAGCTCGGCGTAGCACAGCGCTCCTGGAAACACAGACACACACAGTTGAGGCACGGGGGCAGGGCTGCAACTCACCTGCCCCCAGGGACAAAACTGTCACTTTTCATAGATCTCTGGGGTTCGAGGAGTTTGTATTCTCAGGAAAACTGTAAAAGCAGCTAATTCAACTATTTTCCCCTCTTGGAATGAGGGTGGAGATTTTGCATTGCACTGAGAAAGTGTGAACCTGCAGCACTGGGCTGTACAGTATTTAGAGCTACTGTACATAAGGAGCTAGACTGTTTCAGATATAACTTACCACGTTCAGACATACATACACAGCCAAAAAGCAAAACTCTGGTGCTAATGTGAACATCCAGTAAGGGACTGCATTGGGGAAGATATATCTCAGGACCCAGGAATATCAGAGGCTCCTTAACTGGTTTTCACTGCCCAGAGCAGATTTCTATCTCCAAACCTGAAGGGTTTTACAACTGTAGCTCAATAGCTTTTGTTTTCCAGACCCTGTGCTGTCTGCACACTAGTGGAAGTTATTGGATGTTGAGCCTGTATTCTTGAAAGCCCCTCTTTCCAACACGTACCCCTATCTTAACTTACCGAGAGTGGACAGAACGCCGCAGGCTGCCCACACACACAGACAGGGGCCCACAGCGCCAGTGCTCTCCAGCACTGCTTTGGGAGAGATGAAGATGCCAGAGCCAATCATGGTCCCCACAATCAGGCAGATGCCACTGACCAGCCCCACCTGGCAGAGAGGGGGAGCAGGGGTTACTATGACACACTGCCACGGGCCTGCAGACACTCTCTCGTCCTTGACCACCAGGCAACAGCAGCTCAAGCTGTGTCAGCAGGTGATGCCCACAAAACTCACATAGAGTGAGTTCTACATCACTGCTACAGCCCCATTAACGAATTCTCCACTTTATGTTACACTCAGTTCTGAGTGAGTGTATAAAAACCAAACCAATCAAGCAAATGTGGTACAGAGATAAGAAAGGCCATTGAGTCCTTTTAGCCCTTTTGGTGGTTAGTAGTCAATTGATCTAAGGATTTCATCCAGACTTTTAATGAGTGATGTCAGCGGACAGGCTTAAACAACATGTCTGGGAAAGCTTGTTCCAGACTCCCGCATCCCTTTGTGTAAAGAACTGCTATTATCCTATCCCGTTCTCATTGCTTTTAACTGCAGTTCCATGCAGTTTCCCCTTGTGTCCTCTGGTTCATGTTTCACTGTTCATTTTGAAGAAGTCCTCTGGGTTGACGCTGTCAGTGCCCTTGTAAATTGTGATCACTCCTATCAAGCATTCAAAGTACACATGGAATGAACTTCATTTTTCCAACAAGTACAGTATTTTAACTGATCACATCGACCTATTAATTTTTATTTCAGAAACTACAGATGACACGTTGGTATTAATTAGCTACCAGCAAACAGATTATTAAGGATGGGCCACTAAATCTCAAACAGAGTTGTGTTGTTATCAAACAATATTCCTTATTACCAAGCCCCATGGAGTGATACTCCAGCAGTGAGCTGGAGTCACAGTAATGAAATCTCTCGGCAAACCTGACAATATCTTATCTCTGTTTGCTTACAAATTCATTTTTTATGCTTCATTTGCCTTCTCATTTATTCAGTCCTGTGTGTCCTTTTGAAATGACTTACTACAGTTTGCATCTTATTTGCATCAACAGGTCAGCAAAGTGCTAAACGTTTGCAATTGTTTCAAGGGTGAAAACTCCTTAGCCTTCAACAGCTGCTCTCAAACACATACATTTTCTCATCTCAAGAATTACAGTAAGGTATCAACATGCACTAGGGTTCGGTTCAGGGAATCATCACGAATAGCCAAATTTACATATAACCAGGACCACCCCTATACTGTCGTATAGTGTACTGCAGTATATAAGATGTATGGTTAAAGGCCATAAGTAACTCTTCCTTATAATAATTAAAGTACTAATGCTTTGGCTTTAATTTAATTGAAATAACATTGTCCAAGTAAAACAATCAACAGTTATCACAAACGTATAGTAATCAGCTGAAGAAATCAACATGAATCCCTGCTCTGTGTCCCACGGTTTCCTGCACTTTCTCTCCCTGCTCCCATGATCGTCACACCCCACGGGAACGAAGGTGGAATAGAACTGTCAGTGGGCCCGTGCAGCTGCCGCTCCAGAGCCGTTCCCCACACAGGACCTGAGCGCTCGCTCCAGAGTGAAAACTAGACGAGCTGAGCTGCAGGAGCTGGGAGAGGCTCCCTCACTCGCTGGATTGACAGCTGGGAACAAACAGTTCGAGTTAATCTTATTATGAAGTCAGTGAAGGGTTTGCTTGTGTAACTCAGGGCTCTCGGCTGGAACAAAAACCAACAGGTGTGCGGGTCACAGGGACCAGAACGGGGAACCACTGCTTTCGGGTGTCACAGCTACTGTATATAGATATTAAGCTTAAAATAAAAAAAAACACATCTGGCTTTCAAATGCTTCTGTTCAGGGGAAAAAAGTCCCAGTTGTCTTTTTAACAAGTGTTTTACAGCATCTACATAATATAAAGAGTGAAAAAACAGCATGTGTATAGGATCGCCATCATGCTTTGTCAGTAGCAGAGCTGGGGACTGATAGGGGCTGTGAAAGGTCAAAGGTCAATGTGACCTGGTGAGGCTGTCCTTCCAGTAGCACTGCAGTTTCATTGCTGGGTTATAAAAGAACAAAATTCTGCATGGATGATTTTACTGGTGTTTTGCTATAACTCTGGTAATGGCTCATTTTTATTTAAAATTGTTGGTAGACCAGGTGCGTGTTCTGTTACTCCATCTGTGGTGGTGTATGAGCTCCAGAAACCATGTACTGTATGTTTCCATTCTTTTATTCTGAAGATTAACCTACACATCAACAGCAGCTGCCTTGTTAATAGCTAAGCCTAAAAACCCAGTGAAGGGGTATTAAAATTAATCTGAAAAACCAAGTCTGCAAATCTGCCTTTGACCAGAAATCAAATTTTGTGGCTTAATCTGATTTGACAGTGGTGGGCACAAATGCTTGAAAGTACTAAATGCTTTCAGAAGTACCTCTAGAACAAAGACACAGATGCTAAAATCCTCCATCCACAGCCTTTTTAATGATCGTGAGAAACACATTATTGTGCCAGTATGAATGTTCTCAAGAAAGAG